TGCAACAGCAGCAGAGGTGGAATAGAGGAACAAACTCCTGTTATGATAGCTGGGCTGGATGGCACATGCTAAATGAATACGTAGAATTTGTTCAAATAATAAAAAAATTATGAGGAGTGAGCAGAAGGCGGCAATTAAGGAAGCAAAAAATTGTCTTTTTATTTTTGAATTTGTTTCCTGCTGTTACTAGTTATTTTAGGTCTATGTTGTATTTAAGTTTGATTTTTCCCCTTTTGGAAGTGATCAAGTTTTCTCTTTTCTTACATAGAATATTTCCCACTCCCTCTCCCTCTCCCTCTTCTCTTTTTCTAGCTTTGGTTTATTCTTCAGAGCCTCTATTTTCATAGAAGAGGCTGCTGTAAGGTGCAATGTTTTGAAATATCAATCACCTTTCAAAATCTAGGCCTCATACCCAGACCTTGCTAAGTATTTATTTCTTTTGGTATTTACTTAGATTTATGAAAGATCAGGAAATAGCTATCTCATATTCCCCCTCTCTATGAAAGCTTTTATATGTTGTATGCCCTTTAAAAGTTATTGTGCATCACATAATCCAGTTTAATATGCTGGCTTGTAACATTACATTTCCTTCGATATTACTTTCCTGAAGGCAATATGACCTTGAAGGTAATATTTTAAACTAATAAATGAGGAGAGAAGTTGAAAATCAAACTAAAAATCCAAAGTCAAATGGATTGATTTTCACCTCGAGCCTTTATTTCTATACATGAAAAATACAAAATTATCACATTAATGTATTTGCATTTGTTTCTTAATTTCCCATTATTTTTTTTACTGCATTATCTATTCCCTTTTGACTGTGTATTGGTCCATAAATATTTATGCCTCTTTTCCTGTCACATCTCTTTTTGCTCCTGCCTTCGCTCAATAATTTTGAGTTTCCTGTTGCACTAGGAGGGATTAAGACATGGATACTATAAGGGGAATCTAAATACATAGGGTGTTAATGAGAGTTTACAGTAGAGACACCATGGGAAAATAAGACAGAAAGAACATTGAATAGATACTTCTGGTGACATAACATCTTGGTTGAAGATATGGTAAAGAAGGCATAGGTGGATAACTAAGGCCACATCCAAAGCTTTTACACCACTTGCTACGTGATATGAGTTTCAGCCTTGTTTCCTGATAGTAAATTTTAGCAAACAATGTTAAGTCCGCAGTAGTCATGGGAAGAAAAGGCATAGCTTGCACTCCTTTTGAGATGCTCTACTTGCAAGACGATCTTTTTTGGATTCCTTTTCCACATCAGCTGACACAAATACTTATGTTTTAAAACTGTTAAAATTAATTTAAAAATCATTAAAAAATTATTTGTTTATTATATGCTAAGAAGCAGGTAAATTAACCCACAGGAAGCTACACCCTGCTTCCTGAAGTGTGTGAGCCACCTCTTTCAAAGAGAGCTTGGGTGTGCCTTCCTTGCTGGAGTGGAGACATGCTCTCATGGCCAGAGGAGAACCCCACTGGGCAGTTTCACACTTAAGTCACTTTGGTTTCCATAGGCAGATTTTACCCTGCAGGTGTTCCTGGCTGTATTGTGGTTTACAAGAATAAGGAAGGAATTTGCACACTCTGGCCTTTACTACATGTAATATTTTGGTAATTGTCTTCTTTACTCTTCTTTTTNTTTTTTTTTTTTTTTTTTTTTTTTTTTTTTTTTTTTTTTTTTTGAGTTCAAATATGCTTATCCAGATGGGTTCAGGCAACATCCTCATTGATAGTGATTTTTTTTCTGGCTCCATTACTCACCTATTTTAGTTACCCAAGGGAATTACTTGACTCTTTTCTTCTCTGTCCTTCTGTTCCAAGTTCCAAAGTGCTAGAATATTCCTAGCACTATTATCTTGCAGTGTTATTAAATGGGGTTATTTTTCAGCTCTGCATTGTACTATCACACTATAAAACAGACCTCTGGTATCAAGGAGTTTAATACACAGTGCTACAAAGTATTTTTTTTTTCCCCTCATTTCTTTCCTGCAATATAAGGATTTCTTTACTTTTTATTTTATTATTTATTTTATTTTATTTTATTTTATTTTATTTTATTTTATTTCATTTCATTTCATTTTATTTATCTTTCCTTTGCTGTCTCAGCCATTTGGAAGACAACTGAAGCTGAAGTACTAACAAGAAATAAGAAAACTATCCCTGTTTCTACCAAATATGTTTGTTTTAAGGCAGAAAGACTGCCCCATTTTGTTTTGTATCTAACACCTCTTGGAAAAAAAAAATCTCCTTACCTTGTATATTTACATATTTATTATTTCATATTTATTCAATATTATTCATATTACTTTCATACAGACTGTCACATATTCATGAATTATAAACTTTTTATTAAATGTCTTTTATTAAATGTCTTTATGTTTTTTATTAAATGTCTAAATGTTTAATTATCCATCAAGGACAGTAAAATCTATTAGTGCTCTATTTGATCCATATTGCCATCTTCAGTATACTGACTGTGTCATTAGTTTTACAAATAGTGTTTTTTGAACATTTTGAAGGTATTTTAGCTAATATAACTAATATATAAGTATATCAGTTAACTACACTATAGTTAATTATATTATAACTAATGCTGTTTGACACTGACCCAGTACTTCAAATTCATCCCCACTCAGAACTGTGCTTAATTATTCATCCAATGTGTGTGTTATTATCTGGTTTGTGAGGCCAGATGGTGAGAAATGGTCAGGTTTGATTTTCCGGCATTGAAGTTGAGTATATTCAAGCATATATTCTCCTACGTGTTCTACCTGTTGATCACCTCCTCCATGTACATTGTGTTTGTCCCAATCTGAAAATGACATTCTGAAGAATTATGTGCTTTTAATGAAGGTCTTATTTTCTCCAGCACACACTCTGAGAGAGAATGTTAACATAAAGCCACTTACAGAAGCATGGATGTTACTGCTTTTAACAGTTAATAAGATTATGTGCTTCATCACAATCCTAAATGCAAAATAAAAAAAAAAAACAGTGGAGATATTGAGATTTAGTACCTCTTTCCTGCTGAGGTAGAAGATTCTCTTTTAAGAATCCTTTTCTTTTTTCCATCCTTTTGTAGGTGTTATTAAAAGATTAGAAGGATTTCTCTCTTTTTTTTTTTTTTTTTTTAACTACACTGGTAAATCCCTGTAGGTTTTTGAGTTGGTAATGTGGTGACCTCTGCCTGCAGAATTACAGGAGGGGTGATGCACAGAAAGCCATTTCTTGAAAAACAGTTATAGTTTGTCATGTTTCTGATGTCAATGTTCAGAGAGAAGAAGACGGCGGTCTCCCACACTTTATCTACAATGGCAGATGGGAGCTAACTTTTTCTTATATCCTAAGAGAAGAGAAATCCCTCAGCAGTCCCATCATCATTTGTTTCTGCATGCTTCTGGTTCTGGAAGTGTTTTGACTCCTTGTCACATAAAGAATGGTCAAGAATCATTCGTCTGCATACTTTGTTTCCCATAAGAGTAAAACCCACATGTGTGGGCTGTAAGGGAACAGTGATATGCTTCCTGACCTGAAAAACTGAGAGCGGAGAATAGAGCCAGATCTATGCAGCAATGACTGGGAAGTGGAACAAGAAAACATCAGATTAGAATCACAGAATGGTTAAGGTTGGAAGGGACCTCTAGAGATCATCTAGTCCAACCTTCCTGCTCAAGCAGGGGCACCTAGAGCATATGGCACAGCGTCACATCCAGGCAGGTTTGGAAGATTCCAGAGAAGGAGACTCCATCACCTCTGTTTCAGGACTCTGTCACCCTCACAGTAAAGTTTCTTCTCACATGTAGATGGAACTTCCTGTATTTCAGCTTATAACCGTTACCCATTGTCGTATCCCTGGCCACCAACGAGAAGGGTTCGGCACCATTCTCCCTACATTCTTCCCTCAGGTACTTATATATCAGTACATGCAGGAGATCAGATCTCCTCTCAGTCTTCTTTTCTCCATGCTAAACAGGCCCAACTCGTTTAGTGTTTCCTCGTATGATAGATGTTCCAGTACCTTAATCATCTTTGTCGCTCTCTGCTGGATCCTCTCGAGAAGCTCCATGTCCCTCTTGTACTGGGGAGCCGAGAACTGCACCCAATACTCCAGGTGCAGCCTCACCAGAGCTGAGGAGAGGGGCAGGATCCCCTCCCTTGACCTGCTGGCAACATCCTCCTAATGCAGACCAGAATGACATTGGCAAGAAAAGCCACAATTTTGTAAGAGCCGACTGATTCTCTGCTATATCAAATCTTTAACTCCAGACTTGCTACTAGAAGCCTAGTCCATAAACAGTTGTAAACAGCCTGATGTTGCATATGCAAGATTGGATTTTTTCTTTAGCTTCTATAAGAGAATATTACAGGTCAAAATCATCCCCTTTGACATTAGGAGTTTATGATCTTTAGAGAAAATATGAAAGATATTTTGCTGGTTCTACTGCTAATGGACAACTCTTCTATGCTTCATATTTTATCAAGAAAATAAATACAAATAAAAAGAAGAGCTTCCTTCAGTCATCTGCAGCCTGACTCTAGAACAAAACAGAATCTCTTCTTTCATTTCCTTTTGTCTCCCTGGGTCAAATTTCAAAATGTGACAGTACTTCTTCTTTGGCTAGAATTAGAGGTATTAGAAAGTCACAAAATTTAAATCAAAGATGTGAATGATAATAGAATGTCTAAGATTTGACCAAGCACCACTGAATTCCATGCACAATGGAAAAAGGATATATTTCTGATGTATATTGGAGTGATTTAGTGGTGATTAGTAATGTTAGTTATGTTAGTAATGTCAGTTTCTTCCAGAATACTATCTTTTTTTCCCCTTTATTCCAGAGAATTTTATCAGAAGATGATATGACAAATTTTTTTAAATAAGCATACTTTTAAGGATAAAAGGAAGGATTAACTATAAAGCACTACAGCAGTGCGATGAAAAGAACTGTGTTTAAATCTTTTTATTTTTTTTCTCCTGTCTTCTATAGGTTGCCCAGGAATGTGGGATAACATCACATGCTGGAAACCTGCAAGCGTGGGTGAAATCGTCTTCGTCAAGTGTCCAGCACTGTTCAGATTTATCATCTCTGAAGATGGTAAAGTGCTTCCTCTTTCGTTTAAGTATGTAGCTGCACACACCTCCTGCTGCCTCACCTGCAGCAGTATTCAGCTTAACCGAGGCACTCATTATAACAAACCTATCTTGGTTATAATAGTACTAAATATTTGACCTGGTTGTTAATACTATCTAACGTTTTTGCTTGTTTGTTTGTTTTTTTATGGCAAGCATTCTATGCATCTGCTGTTTGCATGACCATGACACCACAAAGCCCTTTCTCTTTCTCTTTCTCTTTCTCTTTCTCTTTCTCTTTCTCTTTCTCTTTCTCTTTCTCTTTCTCTTTCTCTTTCTCTTTCTCTTTCTCTTTCNTCTCTCTCTCTCTCTCTCTCTCTCTCTCTCTCTCTCTCTCTCTCTCTCTCTCTCTCTCTCTCTCTCCCTCTCTCTCTCTCCCTCTCTCTCTCTCCCTCTCTCTCTCCCTATGTTTTTTTTTCCCCTCTTTGAACTCAAATGGGAATTTGCCAGGTGAAAATAAGAGGATGTGGACAAGAGGAAATAATTATCGTTATTCACACACTGAATGTAGAGTGATTAAATGACCTCTTGAAGTACCTTGATTTTTGCATGATTCAATGAAATAAACTTCCCAGGTGATTGCCTGAGATAGTGACATTCTTCTGTCACCATTAGTCAGCTAATAACAAGCCTTTGGTGATAAACAAACACAGGCTCATCCAATTTCTCTCAACACCCACTCAGGCTAGTGTAGATCACTTAAATAAACACTTTTTTCCTATGATCAAAGCTCACCAACTTCCATTTGAGGTCCTTTGTCCCCAAAGTGCTTAGGAAGGGTAATGCATTGGTAATGCTGAAAAGCAAAGTTCATCTTTCTCAACGTTGACCTGCACAGAACATGAAGTGGGTGAGACAGTAAGAACCTTATGCATGGTTCCTGGTATGCTGAAATCCTCACTTTCAAATGAATACATTTGAGCTGACATAGACACTGAAGCAAGCAACATTACTCTTATGAAGCCCATAAAAAACACAAGTGTCTCCTCTAAACCAGTCTGTAGACTCTAGACTGAAATCAGTGGAAAGATGCCAAAAGAAGAAGATCCACCAAAAAGAATGATGTTACTGCAAAATACTTGAGGTGAATCATCCTTTCAGAGATACCTCTTTTTTTCCCAATAAGTGCTAAAGACAGCTTGTTTAAACTAGGCACCTAATTTTTAATGGAGAAAAATGAATCCCTCCTTTAGTTATTAGATATAAAAATATAATTATATGTGCTTTAATTATAGCCACTATAATTAAAGATAATCATTGCTACTGTAATACTGGTTCAGTGTTGATTCAGTTGCAGGGATGACACTTAAGTGAAACGTGTATGTAGTGATAATAGAGGAAGGAAAAAAAGGAGAAAAAAAAAAAAAAAAGGAAATAACATTTCTTACCCATAGTAAATACAAACCAGAAAATACAAATAATCCAGAAAATACAAATACAAATCAGAGAGGTTTGTATTTGTCATGGCCAAGGAAATATTATTTCCTTCTGTCATTTTTTTCTGTGATTTTGTGTGTGTGTGTATGTACATGTGTGTGTTTTGTTTTTTTAATTCTCCAAGATTTTATCGCCAATTTTCACTATCTGCTTCTCCTCCAGCCTGACTGATGCACCAATGCTGGTGGTCCTCTGGGCAGCAAATCCAGTAAACCAGAAGTTTTTAAATACGGTCATCAGTGCTGCTTGTAGTCTGCAGGCAGAATACTTTTATGTTATTTACAGTGCATTAGCAGATAGCTGATTTATTATTATCTTCTGATATAATTACAGGAGGCCTGCTTCTCAACACAGAGCCTGTCAGCTTTTCCATTACAAGTCCTCCTTTTCACTGGCTTGTAATACGCTTTCCTTAAATATCCTCAAGCTAGAGCTTGGTATCATAAGAAGTACTTTTTTTCCCTTTCTTACTCTCTTTCTCTCTCTCTTTATTTTTTTTTCTCCCCCTTTTTTAATGGGGAAGCAATGCTCAGAGATATTGCTAGTTTGATAATATGGAGAATGATGGCATTCATACCTACAACCTGTCAAAATACCTCAGCCATGGACCTCAACTATTCTTTATTTCAAGTGGGATCCTGCTTATATTCCATACGAATATAGTTCTTTCTGACTTTTACTGATGACATTTATTTTCTATTGTGCCATCACTTATGGAGTTGTTAAGACTGGAAGCGTCTGTGAGAAATTATCTAGTTGACTTCCCTCCTCAACGACAATATTTACTCAGTGTGATCTATTTTCAAGCTTAACCAGTGTTCTTTGAATTGGAAGGACTATATTGTTCTTTATTAAAAAAAAAAAAAAAGTCAAAAACGGTCTTCAGATAGAAATGAAGAGCTCTACCTTAACTACAGCTATGGAAATTAAAAGGCTGAAAGCATTTATAGGCAATTTGCCCAGAAATTCCAATCTTGTTCATGTATGTTGCCCTTCTTTTTTTTTTTTTTTTTAGCAGGGATATTGTGACCTCAAGGGAGGTATCATCAGTCCAATGAAAATATATGTAACCCTTTCCTTGTCTCCTTACGGTAAAAATATTAACAAAAATGAGAGCTGTTACCACTTGTAGTGCTGGACTTGAATTTTTTTGGACATCTGTTCAGTAGGAACAAAACCAAGATTCATAATTCATTAGATAAACAAATAAACGTTTAATCTGGGGTAGTTGGAAATCTCTACAGATCTAGGATGGATTTGCACTAGTGACCCCAAGGTAGAAATATCTGTGTCCATAATCACTCTCCTGAGCGAATTAGCAGTTTTCAGTAACATTACTGCTAATTTTAATTAACTAAATATATTTGCTTCAATGAGGGCTTAATGAAAAAAGTTGCATTTTATGAAGGTTCCTTAAATAAAGGCTTATTAGAGAGCTAAAACGTTTCTAAGACATGGCTAATCACATATTTTAGGTTGTTCTAGTATTCTCTTGCTGCTGCCATATTTCCAGAATGTAAAAATAGTCTAGACATTGATACTACTGTCTATTAACATCTTCACTGTTAAAAAAAAACAAAATTTTCATTTGATCTAAAATTATTTTTTTGAAAACAACAGCAAAAACTTTATATTTAAAAATAGTTCATGTAATGCAAAACAGAACAACCTGCAGACATGGAAGTCTGGATAGCAACAGGCAAATCATATGGGGATGGGTTTATCTTAAAGACAGTGTGGAATTTATTTCACTTGGTTTTAGGTATTTAAAAGTTATTTGTATTCATTTGAACTGATCTTGTTGTCCCACTAATGGAAAGAATTAACTACTTGCAGAGGATGTTTAACCTATCTCTAAACTACAGGGAAATAAGGCAAGCTGTGATGTTACAGTGCAGTATGATGCAGCTAGACCTACAGATGGCCCCTGCACAACGAGTTATGATCCCAGACAGAAAATTTAATTTGTTTTCTTATTTTTCTTTTTTTTTTTTTTTTTTTTCCAGGCAGTGGTGATACTGCTTGGGAGAGGAAATCTGCAGATGCCGAGCCTGTGCTCTTGTTTCTTTGTCCTGCAGAACTGAGCTATTCTGTAGAGATAAAAGCTATAAAGTCAGATTACTCAAATGGGCCATTGAAGGAAATGCAACAGCCAGATCAAAAATGAGCATATTCTTTGGCCTTTTCATTTGCAGCAAAAACTAATACAGCTGATAATAGACAGTTACCAAGCATCGCCATATGCTCCACTTTGAGAAACTGCCTTTATTCCCAAATCCAAATAATAAATATGTTTAGCTCTCACTGAATCCTCCAGCTATTCAGTGTGTTTATCCAGTGCTCAGTCTAAGAAACTACCTGCTTCATTCAAAAACGCATAAGTACAGAGAATGCTTTATGCCAGAAAATACAGAAAGTCTATATAGTTTTTACCTAACACATATACACATCCTACGTTGATAACAAGACTGAAGTGTCTAATTAAAATTCAGTAGAATAAAAAATGTACCCAGGTTTTATAAAGCTTAAGAGAGAATAATATCCCACTTCCTTTTCTTCCTTTTTTTTTTTTTTTTTTTTTTTTTTTTTGGCAAAACATTTGAGGTTTTACTTTGCCACTGGTCTGGCAGTTTATGCATGATTTCTATGCACGATTTCTACCAAACTTTGTTTTCCCAAAGAAAGGGAATTGGAAATCCTCTATTATGGATCCCATTAAAACCACTACGAAAAACTCAAGCACTTTGTTGCAAGAACAACACCAAGCTTCAAATATTTTGCATTAGAGAGATCTTGAGTGGACAATGGGATTCATGGTTAACTGGATTTGAGAAGCCATCCATGGCTTTTTTTTCCCTTCTGAGTTTGGATGTTATTCCTGATCAAACTAAATAAGATGATAAGAGGGGAGTTAAAAAGAGGGTCAGTTGTATTATACACATGTATGTGAAATATCCTTATGGGGTAATAGTCCTGGGAACATCTTCAAATGCTGACTACACACTACTGTGAAAATGGTACATAATCCTCAGACTGAATGAAGAAACATCAAAATCCATTGTCTACCCAAGGCAAAAGCTTGGGATTATCTTTAAATTAGAATTTTTCTTAGTCTGCCTGATTTATTGAAATTTTTTGATATAGAGAAAAAAGAAAGATGACTGTTAACGTTCAGAGGCTCTCTAAGCAATAAAATACCTCCGGAAGATTGTACGCTTATTTTCTACTGAAGTAGAAGACGCAGGGTTTTTTTTTGCTACTAGCTGAAATTAAGGTCAGCATTGCAGCAGACTGAAATTGGAAATTGTGTTTGCCTGTCAAGCAGGCAAGGCAGAAGATCAATGCAAAGGTCTAGATTTTCTGTTCAAATATATCCCAACCCTGGTGGGTATTTTAGCTTCCTGCAAGGGGAAAAAAAAAAAAGAGAGAGAGAGAAAAGAAATAAAAACACTGGACACCTGAAACAAGAAATATTCCCTGAAAAATAGATTTGACCCATCCCGCGGAGTTCCCATCATGGGAATAATA